CCAAGTGGGTTCCCTAGTAATGGGAAGAGGGACTACCTCTGACATAATCTGATTGGCCTGCTCTTTGATCATGTCCCCGAGGGGGGAGCAGCCTTACCAGGTGACAGAAGATGACAATGCAGCCACTCCTGATGTGAGCTGATAGACTAAGATCAGAAGGAAGGAGAGGAGGACCTCCCTTATCAGTGGACTTGGGGAGGGGCATGTGCAAAGAAGGGGGTGGGGGTGGGACCGAGAGGGGAGGAGGGAAGGGATTATGGGGGGATACAAAGTAAATAAAGTGTAATTAATAAAATTAAAAATAAAATAAAATAAGATGAAATCATGAAATTCACAGGTAAATGGAATAGAGCTAGGAAAAAATCATCCTGAGTGAAGTAACCCAGACCCAAAAAGAGAAATATAGTATGTGTTTTCTTAAATGTGGATGTTAGCTGTTAAGTCTTCAATAAACAAGCTATAATTCATATAATGATAGAGGTTAGGTATAAAGTAAGGGCATAATGGGAAGGGATGAATCTCCCTGGGAAGGGAAAATAGAATAGTTAGTTACAGATGGTTGGGGTGCAGAAATAGGAGGATCAAATGGCAATATGAAAGGAAGAGGGGGTGAGGGAGGAAATACAGGGAGGGACCACTTTAGGAGTCATATAAAGTAGAACAAAAGTCAAATAAAGTAGAATCTTCCTAAATAGATACATATATTGAAGTGATCAAAATAAAATCACCACATAACGGAAGAGACAGAATCCCAAGTGGACATATCTCATTACTAAATGAATCCTTCAGTTCTAGAAATGGGTTACATCTAATCAAGTTGTTAGCTAAAGGGGTCTCATGAGAACCCCTATATTGTAAAGGCTATTATCCACAAACTGATGATGAGGCTCTTGTGCTGAAGACAATACCCACACAACTCATTGAACACAAAGAAGCAAGTTAGTGCCTACCTACAGCAGCTACACCTATGGACTTAAGGCCCAACCCATGAGATAGAACTCATTGCCAATACTACCTTGTGGCCAAGAACCTGAGGCCAGATAAGCCAGGGAACTAGAAGAAAACCAAATCCTGTTATGCTAACGAAATGCAGCCATAAAATGACTCCTAACTATCTTCTGCTATACCTTGCTCAGCTATCATCAGAGAGGTTCCCTCCTGCAGTAAATGGGATCAAATACAGAGACACACAGCTGGACAATGGGCAGAGAGGGAGAGACTTTGGAACACTCAGTCCTAAATGATATGTCGCCACCAAAACCCCTCAGGACTCAGGGAACCACAGAGAAGAAAAGGGGGGAAGACTGTAAGAGACATAGGGGATGGAAGACACCACAGAAACAAGCCTTTCTAGGTACACCAGAACCAACACATTAATGAACTCACAGAGACTGTGGGGCAGCATGTATAGGGCCTGCACAGGGCTGTACTAGCTGGAGTCTTAGCACAGAGAAGTGGTGACAAAGTTCTATCCCTAACCCAGAAATTGTCTCCTCTTGAAAACCACTGGCAAGTGAAAAATCAGTTCTCACTGTAGATACAAGCCGCTCAAGTGTGAAGGCCCCATACCCAGCAGGAGACGGTCAACACACACACACACACACACACACACACACAGAAAAAAAAAAAAAAAAAACAAGCTCAGTCGCATCTTTGGAGGCTCTTTGTCTCTTAATGTTTTTGGCAGAGCACTTTGTTTTTGTTTTTTACTTTGCAGGTCCTTTACATAGACAAGATGGCTTCCAGTTGTGGGTTCTTATGGGATTTTGGTGTGTATGAATGTGTGTATCTCTTTGTCTATATATGTTTCTCATGCTTTTGCTATGACTCTTTTTTCTTCCGTTTGTTTGTTTTGTACTGTTCTGGTTTTTTGTTTTGTTTTGTTTTGTTTTATCATAATTATTTAGATGTCTGTTTTCTAACAAGAGACAGAAAGTGTGTATTTGGGTGTGTGGAAGACCTCAGAAGAGTTGGGGGAGGAAAACTGTAATAAGAATATATTACATGAAAAACAAACTATTATTTTTAATTTAATTTAAATATTAAATAGTTTATTAACTCTGTATCCCAGCTGTAGCCCCCTTCCTCATTCCCTCCCAATCCCATCCCCCTTCCTCATCTCCTCCATGCCTCTCTCCAAGTCCACTGATAAGGGAGGTCCTCCTCCCCTTCCCTCTGACCCTAGCCTATCAGGTCTAGTCTATCAGCCTCATCAGGACTGGCTGCATTGTCTTCTTCTGTTGCCTGATAGGGCTGCTCCCCCCTCAAGGGGAGGCAATTAAAGAGCAAGCCACTGAGTTCATGTCAGAGACAGTCCCTGTTTCCCTTACTAGGGTACGCACTTGGAGACTGAGCTGCCATGGACTACATCTGTGCAGGGGTTCTAGGTTATCTCTATGCATGGTCCTTGGTTGGAGTATCAGTCTCAGAAAAGACCCCTGTGCCCAGATTTTTTAGTTCTGTTGCTCTCCTTGTGGAGCTCTTGTCCTCTCCAGGTCTTACTATTTTCCCCTTCTTTCATAAGATTCCCTGCACTCTGCCAGAAGCTTGGCTATGAGCCTCAGCATCTGCTTTGATACCCTGCTGGGTAGAGTCTTTCAGAGGCCTACTGTGGTAGGCTCCTGTCCTGTTCCATTTTCTCCTTCTTCCAATGTCCATCCCATTTGCCTTTCTGAATGATGATTGAGCATCTTACCCAGGGTCCTCCTTCTTGCTTAACTTCTTTAGATGTACAGATTTTAGTATGATTATCTTATATTATATGTCTAATATCCACTTATAAGTGAGTATATACCATGTATGTCTTTCTGCTTCTGGGATACCTCACTCAGGATGATCTTTTCTAGGTCCCACCATTTGCCTGCAAATTTCATGATTTCCTTGTTTTTTAATTGCTGAGTAGTATTCCATTGTGTAAATGTACCACAATTTCTGTATCCATTCATCAACTGAGGTATATTTCCAGCTTCTGGCTATTACGAATAAAGCTGCTGCGAACATGGTAGACCAAATGTCCCTGTTGTGTACTTCAGCATATTTTGGGTATATGCCTAGGAGTGGTATAGCTGGATCTTAAAATAACACCATTCCTAATTGTCTGAGAAAGTGCCAGATTGATTTCCAAAGTGGTTGTCCAAGTTTACATTCCCACCAGCAATGGAGGAGGGTTTCCCTTTCTCCACATCATCTCCAGCATGTATTGAGTTTTTGATCTAGCCATTCTGACAGGTGGAAGGTAAAATATCAGGGAAAACAAACTATTTTCTAGGAGATTAAAAAAAATGAGCCCCAGGTGAATCCAGGGCTTACCTATCTAGGACTTAGATATCAGGTGATCAACAAGGATGGGCTCCTCCAGAGAATGCATCTGGAAACAGCAGCTTTGTTACAGCTTACATGAGAAGGGTTGTGGAAGGTGGGGTAGGCAGCCAACTGCAGTTGTCTTTCCCATCATCCCTTTCACCCAGGCAGGACCACATCATACACAGCGCAGAGAGGATGAGCTGTCAGTGTTCTTTACGTGTACATCGTGATGTCCTGAAAACATTATCCTGTAATGAGCTCAGTGCTTCCTTACTCCCTAACCCAAACAAGGTCTTCATACCTTCACGAGCTATCCAGAAGCCCTTTCCCTTTAGCTCAGATGTAGGACTCTGGTCACTCGTGTCTTCAGATGATTGAGAATGTGTCACCTTCTCCACTTCATGAGCCACAAAAAAGACTAAGAATATATTAAACCTCAAATTGGTAAATGAAAGGAATAATAAATACCAGAGTGGAAATAAGTTAAACAGACCAAGAACGAACACACACACACACACACACACACAAAGGTGAATGAACTAAAAACCTGTGCTTCAGAAAGACCAAAGAGACAATCACTTAGAGCAGAGAAGAAGGATAAAGAAAACTCAAAATCACAAACGGAGAGGGTGAAATAGAGCTCACACCACAGACATATGAAATATCCTTACAGGTTGCCCTATGCTCCGTTTTTCTCATTTATATTTTTAAGAGAATTTTATATGAATACTGTATTTTCATCATTTCCCCTTTCTCTCCTCCCTCCAACTCCTTCCATGCCTGTCCCCCACTCCTCCTCAAAATTTATGGCCTGTAGCCTGTCATCTAGAGAAAGGGAATTGGGGTTACTCTATTTGTAACTTTGATTCCCTCTCCGTGGTTAGCTTTGCCTGACCACACACTTGTCTGCTCCTGGCACCTTTCATGCTGAGGTGCATAGCTTCAGATGAAAACCCTGTAAAATACTGATCTATAACAAGCTGACCTCTCTCTTCCCATCAAACCCTTTCATGCCATGCTTTTTTTTTTCTTAAATTGTGCATAAATGTACATAAATACTGGTTGTTCAAGTGACTCTGGTATCTGGAAACAGTTATATAGCAGAATAATGTGCATGACTTACAACAATGACTCCAGTAAAGATTAATGATGAAGGCAGTAAATCAGAAACTAATTAATCAAATAAATAAGACTACAACTTTTTCAAAATCACTAAGCGAGACCCCTGGAAAACTGTTACTGACTGGAAGGATGGGGGGTGACTGCCTTCTCAGGTCTCCATTTTTGCCACATGGCTTCACTTTGTGCCACGTGGTCTCTCCTTGTTTCATATGTCCAGGGTCCTTCACAGAGAATCCTGGGGCAGAAGCCCAGACACAAAGCACCAAGAGAAGCTATCCATGGAACACAGTAACAGGAAAAGCCATCGGTCAACAAGATTTTCTCCCGCTCTTCAAGCCCCCACTTCCCTGGAAAACAAACCCACCAATCACATGCATGCTCCACTGTGAAAATTGCCTGACACAGTAGGGACAGCTTTTCCCTCCTCCTGCAACAGATCAGTTTGCAAGTTCAACACTTCTCCAAGTTTCGTCCTCCAATGACAGCATCTGACCAGGCTGAGAGCTATGAGGGATTAATTAGATAAGAAATAAAACACTTCGGCACAGAGAAGTTAGCTACAAACCTTTATTGAAAATGTTGCATGAGTAGAATAACTCAGGAGGAAATCTGCAGCCAAGAGTTGGGTTCTCAAGATAAGAAAAGAGAAGATACCATCTTAACCCTAGCAAATGCTCACACTACTTTCTTAGCTGTTTCGTTTGTTTTCCCAGCATTAACTCTGATGTGAATGCCACTGCTGCATTGTCTCAAATCTTCAAATGACTGGGAAATCTTGAATAGTGTTTTTAAATACAACAGGGCCTTAATTAAATAGGCTGAGGCCTCCCCCTCTTTTTCTTGTTCACAGTAACTACCAATAAAAGTGTAACCTTATCATCTAGAATCTAACAGTTCATCTAAACTTTAAAGAGGAATAAAATTCAAGATAAGCATACTTGGATTTTAGGCAGATATTGGGATATATGGGAAAAAAAAAAAGGATAAGTGGCTTTCACTGAGTTTTCATTGAAAATGGAAAAGAATGGGGGTGGGGCATCAAAGAAACTGTCATTTTCCAGAAATGTCTATTACTGCTCCATGGATTCTACAGACTAAAACTTGTGCCTAGGTGATGATGGCACCATTACCAAACAGCATGCCAGTTCCTCAAAACACATCCTCTTCAGAGCAGGGCACCCTAGAAACAGCAAAACACACCATAGCAAATGTTATGTTTCTCCAGCAAAAATACACTAAAAATTGAAATGTGCCTGCTGACTGGGACTCCAGAACCCCAGAGAAAGATCATGAGAGGACGGGAGGATGGCATCATGATGGCTGGTAGAGTATTCACAATAAAATCCCACATGGAAGAACTAAGTGGGACCTTCATCACTGGCAGGCTTCGCCTGTGTCTTTTCCTGTCACTGTGACAAAACCCTGACAAAAGCAATGTTAAGTGCTCACATCATGTGTGAGGGCCAGCAGAGGGGCAGAAGTGGGCTGACATGTCATTTATCCTGTTTACCATACCGAGCTTTCCTCACTATTGCTGTCAAGATCAGCTGACCAGGTTAAAATAATTTTTTTTCAAAGCTGATTATACCTGGAGTTAGTTCACTCCTCAGCCTTCCCTCCCTCCATCCCTCTCTAACCACAGACACACTCATGTGTCCTGCTCCTCCTCAGCCCTTTCTCCCATCACACACTGACTCCTCACCCTGATAGTCCTGTCCCATCCCCTCTAAACAGACCAAGACATCTGCTTAGACAAGAAATCTGGCCAGGGCTGAGAATAGCAAAAGCAAAACAAAACAAAACAAAAACAACTGTGGGACATGACAGCATCTGTCCATGGCCTACTCAGCAGGGAGGAGATGGCAGCTTTGGCCTCCCTTTGGGCCATGCATCTCACAATGGCAGAGTGGGTAACTGGTCTTAGAGTAGATCTATGATGCTACTGTTACCAGAAGCATGGGGGCACCTGAGAGAAGGCTACTTCCCTAGTGGTGTGACAGATAAGGAAAACTCTGAGCTGCAGACTTGGTGACATTTGGTATAAAATATTATTTATACGATCACTATAATTTCCCCCTCCAGAGGAAGAAGAAAGAAGAGAGAAGAGAGATAGAGTTGGGGGAAGGGAGAAAGTGGAGGGAAGGGAGAAGAGAAGGGAGGAGGGAAGGACTACAGTTTAGCCTAAGGTAGAAAGGGAACCTATGATATTGCTAGTTCAAACACACAGAAGCCTGGGCTCCGTCTGAACTCATTTTAAATCTCAGTTTCCGCTGAAAGGGCTGTTTAGATGCAAGCAGCTCTAAAAGCCCTCCACAGAGAGGGTGTGGTTAAGCTCATAGGTGTTGCTTTCTTCTTCCTCCAGCAGCAGCTTGTCAATGGTCAGGGAGTTGATGGCCCTTCTGGGGTCATCCATGTCCTGAAGGACTGGCTCTGGGATAGAGATGGGGAGCTGGACAAACTGGGGCCCAGACAGGGCTGGGGCTGGAGGCTGGTACTGCAGACCGGAGGTGGGCAGCGTGGAAAGGGGCTGAGGCCACGAGAAATAGGTGAGGGGTGCCTGGTGCTCTGGGCCCTCCAGCTGGGGCCCCACTGCAGGTGCAGCAGTGCTTCTTGGCTGTGACAGAAAACACAGGACCAATGGTTAGCATAACTGAAGTCCACAGCTGCTTGATTGCCCCCATCATGACCTCCCATTACACCCGCCCTGCCCTTACTGATGCTTCACTTAGTGGGGCTCTGCCTCCTCCTGCTCAGTCTCCTAGGAAGGAGAGCCTGACGAGTTTCAGCTGTATCCCTCCTTATTCCATCCATATGCTCAAGCAACTTCCAGTTTGGAAGCTTCACTTTTTCATAAAAGGGGATGCAAAAAATAATGATGTCATACCAAATTAATGGTTTTATAGGTTTCATTTAATATAAAATATACTCCTATTGCAGAAATCTTAAATTATGTAAAATATATGTTTGATAAACAATGAGCTCTCATAGCCTTGTAGCTGTTTCTTGAAGAAGAAACAGCTACCACCCAGACAGAAAGGTGACATGGACTCCTAGGGTCCATGGTATGGCTCCCATAGACTCCTGTGTTTGAAAGCTTGGCCCATTGGGTATGGCACTATTAGGAGGTATGACCTTGTCGGAGAAAGTGTGGCCTTGTTGGAAGAAGTGTATCATTGTGTAGGTGGGCTTTAAGGTCTCCTATGCTCAAGCTACACCCAGTGTGGTATACAGTCTCCTTTTTCTTCCTGTGGATCAAGATATAGAACTCTTCCCTCCTTCTCTAGCACCATGTCTGCCTGCATGCCACGATGCTTCCTGTCATGATGATAACAGACTAAAACCCTGAAACTGCAATCCAGCCCCAATGAAATGTTTTCAAGAGTTGCCTTGGCCATGGTGTCTCTTCACAGCAATAAAACCCTAAGTAAGATAGAAGACACCAAGAACTGGGGTATTTCCGTTATTGATAGTCCTACCAAGCTCTTGTTTGGAAGGATATGGGATTCTTGGACTTTGGATTAGAAAAGCAGTTGGATGCCTTAAGTGGGCCTTAAGAACACAGAAGACAATGTTCCAAAGGGTTATTTGAATTGAAGGGGCCCGGATAATGATATTTCAGAAGAGAAAAATTGTAGTATAGTTCCTAGAACCCCTTCTTGTGATAGTTTGGTGAAGAAGGTGGCTGCTTTTTGTTCTTGTCTGAAGAGGCTGCCTGAGGTTAAAGTGAAGAAATTTAGATTAATTGCATTGGCAAAGGAAATCTCAGAAATCCTACTATAGACTCTGTCCTATGGTTCATTCTTATGAAGAACATTTTGATGAAAAGGAGTAAGCTGAGCAAGGAAGAATACAAAATGTATGGTGTAAGGATTAAAGGGGCACCCAGAAAGGGACTGAAGCTAAATCCTGTGTTCAAGGAAATAAGCAGATTAAAAATATTAAATGGAATTAAGGGAGTGATGACCCCAGAGCAAGATCCCACCCAGCTAGGCTTCCAAATTGTGAAAAGGAATTAAAGAACAGTTTAGGTCCAGGTGTGGTGGTACATGCCTTTAATTCTAGCACTCAGGAGACAGAAGCATGCAGATCTCTAAGTTCAAGGTCAGCCTACAGAGCAAGTTCCAGGACAGCAAAGCATAGACAGTGAAGGAAATCATCGAAAAAAGAAAGCTGGTGAAGATGTAATTGATCAAAAGGGCCATGTTACAGCCCCAGCAAGCAGCAGAACTTGGCAGCTTTGGCTATGTGGTTCTTGCTTCAGAGTCAACAACAGAAGAAAGGAGTATGAAGTCTCCCTCTGAGACTTAGGAAAGTTGCTGAGGCCAGGTAGGTGGCAAGGGTGTCCCTGCATGGAAGCTAGAAAGACCATTGTGTGAGGTTATACAGGTGAAGCCTGTATCATCTTGGATACACAAAGTGTTAAGAGATTCCAGAGCTATGGGATGCCTGCCAAGAAAAGCTGCTAATGGGGAATGGAACCAGCCCAAGAGAAAGAAGAGTGCTCAAGTCCACAAAGCTGAAAGGAGTTGGAGATCTGAAGAGGCTTTTGACATCAGACATGGAGATGCAGAGTTTGGAGATTGCCCAGCTATTTTTCAGTCTTTCTTTGATCTGGTATTTCCTCACTGTGCTCCCTTTTGTAATGGCAATATATATCCTGTGCTATTATATATTGGAAGTCTGTGATCTGGTTTTTTATTTTAATTTTATTTTGATATTCTGGTTTTTATAGGGGATTGCAGTTAAGAGATTGCATGAATCTCAGAAAAGACTTTGAACTTTAGACCTTTAATCATTGTTGAGACTGTGAGAGACTATTCAGATTTTTTTTATTAATTATACTTTATTCACTTTGTATTCCCCCCTGTAGCTCCCTCCCTCCTCATTCCCTGCCTCCCCCTTCTCCACGCACGCCCTTCCCCAAGTCCACTGATAGGGGAGGTCTTCTTTCCCTTCCTTCTGATCCTCATCTATTAGGTCTCATCAGGAGTGGCTGCATTGTCTTCCTCTGTGGCCTGGTAAGGCTGCTCCCCCCTCAAGGAATTGACTATTGGGATTTTTGAAGTTGGACTAAATGCATTTTGTATTATGTTATGGCTACAAACCTATGGGGGGCATTGGTGTCCTTAAAAACCCAATTATATTATGTAAATATGTTTTCTTTTTAATCCCATGTATGGTATATGGGGCTGCTTCAGATTGTCCACAGCAGCAATCTATTTGCCTCATGAGTGTTCTGGCAGGGCCATGATTCTGCCAGCTGAATATAGTTTAGTTCTGGGAACTCTAGAGAGGGTATAAAAAGACCAGAGCCCCCATAGAAGAGGTGCATCTCTTCCTCTTGCTGGTTCCTGATCCTGCTGCTGCTCTTGCTGGTTTGTGAAGTGGTTGTGAGAAAAGAGACAAGAAGTTGGAGATATCCAGAGGAGATGAAGATTGAACTTCCTCCAAGAAACTAAATGTCCCTAATCAGCAAGAAGCGTCTAGAAAGATCTCAGTTCCCACTCTCCCCACCTTCTGTCTCTCCTACCTGGTGTTGGAATGTTGGAAGGAATTGGGGTGGAAAATGTTGGTAGATATAAGAACCAAATAAAATAGCATAAAAAATGACAACAGGCCAGGGAGTGGAATGTTTTATGAATAGGTATGGCCCCATAGACTCATTTGTTTGAATGCTTGGCACTATTAGGAGGTATGCCCTTGTTGGAGTAATTATGGCCTTGCTGAAGGAAATGTGTCATTGTAAGAGTGGGCTTTGAGGTCTCCTCTGCTCAAGCTATACCCAAGATGGTACACAGTCTCCTGCTTCCTGCAGATCAAGACATAGAACTTTTGGTTCCTCCAGTACCATATCTGCCTACATCCTGCCATACTTCCCTTCATGATGAATAGTGGACGAAACCTCTGAAACTCTAAGCCAGTCCCAATTAAATATTTTTCTTTTTGAGTTGCCATGCTCACGGTGGTTCTTCACAGCAATGAGATCCTAAGACAACCCCGGAGCAGCTTTGACATCGTTAGGTTCCCATGGGTCAACATAGCTCCCTCAGCTCACTCCTCTAGTACTATCTGGTACAGGAAGCCCAGCATTCCTGTGGCATGGGAGCACTATTGTGTCAGCCAATGTGGCTGAGCTGCTCCCTGTGGCAAGGAGCTATACTCCCAAGTGTTTTCTACAAACCATACATCACATAGAAGCTGCTCGCACAAACTTCGAGGTAGCGAGGCCAAGCCCATGTTCTTACTAGCCTTCACAGCAAGCAGACAGATAAGAAAGTTCTCTGCACAGACAGAAGCAAGACCCACTTTTCTATCCCCATCCTCCCCTGTCCTCTCCCCAGCTGCCAGTACATCTTAAGAGTAAACTGCTGGAGTCATTTGGGAAAGAATTTTCATCAGCCTTCTGGGGATTTTGTTACAATGTGGACCCTGATCCCAGAGGTTTGGAGTAGGGCCTAGGATTCTGCAAGTCCAGTCAGACCTCAGAAGATGCTAGTAGCGCTGGTGTGGAGACTCCAGTTTGAGAAGAAAGGCTTCTGGGAGTTTCTATGTTTGAGTAATGGAGCTGGGGACTCCCAACATGCAGGCCAGTGTATATATCCAATTGCAATATGGTTTCTTCTCTCTCAGTGTGAGCCCCTGCTCCCTAACGTTGCTTCCTAAAGACAAGAAGGACCTGAGGAAACCTTACTACTTCCATTATTTAAAAAATCTACATGGACATCACTCCCTTTTGACTCTTCTACCTGTGCAGGTCAATGGCAACTGCTGGTTCCTTGCAGGTTTATCTCTACTGATGAGCAGTGCTGAGCTGGTACTTCAAGCCAGCTTTGATAAGTTAATTTTCAAAGTGACAAAACAAATTGCTTCTTAACAAATACAGTTTGTTTGATACACAGAACCATTCAATGTGGAAGAGGGGGTGATTAAAGAGGATAAATAATGAAAAGAATCTTCAGTAATGAGAGAGCTGGAAACCCCTGTACCTCACCATCCTCCAAGGTCCCTTGATATGGAGATGAGTTGCCTGGGAAGGTTCAATTAACTCCTTCCTACTCGCTGTCATCAAGATCTATCCCCAAATCAGTTTGCTGGGGCACCAGGTGGGCATGGCAGAGGAGGCGTTGGCAGGAAAGTGCTTTAAACATGGGCACTGAAATGACACTGGACCCTAATGGTAAGCAGAGGGGACATGGGGGGGCTAAGCCAAGCTCCACCAGCAGCTGTGTGAACAAAGACCCACAGCCCCAGAGCAGAGCTGCACACCTCTGTGTCCTAGGCCTTTTCTCCCCACAAGCGCTTTAGGAATGTTCTCTCTTTTGGAGACATAGGCACCAAGCATATAAAACGGTAACTCTCTTACTCCACTCTTCAAGGATGGGAGGGTTTCCCATTCTACTGGACACTTGAAGGCAGCCATTTATTCATGTTGCTGGCAGACTATGGCCATGAGGCTAATAACTAACAATTATGGAGTGCTGTCTGCATGCTAAGCACAGTCTAGTCTCATGTGTAGCAGCTCATATGAGCCCAATAACAAACACCTTGTTAGTATCTCCCTCCTTGTAGATGGGTGAGTACTCTGGGTTCAGACAGGTCAAAGTACTATGCACTGAACTAGTGATAAGGAAAAGCATGATGAGCACATGTATCTTGACAATTCGAAATGAAAAAAAAAAAAAAAAAACCTACAGGTGGATCTGACCCAGAGGTAGTCTCCTTGATGAGTAGAACTGACTTTTGTTCATCCTGGAAGTATTATAGTGGTCCCCATTACCAAGTGTACAACAACCCCCTAGAACTGAGAGGACCCAGACCCTACACAGATTTCACCTGATGCCCCACCTAATAAAATTTCACTCACCAAGACCCACTGCTCACAGATTAGCTGGGGACTAAGTAATTAGTTTGGACTAGAGGCAACAGACTTCCCAACCCACGGGAGTAAAGGATGTGACAATTCAAGCATGCAATGTCTTTGTGGAGTACAGACAGTTGCAGTCAACACAAATAGTCTCAGGTCACTTTGGAAGATGCAGTGAACTTAGCTGACCCCGTCATCAGGGAAAATCAAGAGTCTTCTCAGGGGGTGCTATCAGCATGGGTAGATTGAGCTCTACTTTTACCGTGTGACATACCGTGACATTAGTAATGAGTGGCGGGGAAGCATAGGTCAGCACCGAGGAGGGTCCCACCACTGTGTAGCTGGGGCACACAGGCTGCACATACATGTCAGCTGAGTAGGGGCCAGTGACAGCTTCGTGGGAGACATACTCCGTGTAGGGCGTCCACGGGGCCAAGGGCTGAAGGGTGGCTGGGGCAGGTTGGGAGAGCCAGCCAGCACACAATGTCCCCTCCTCTGTCACTGTGGAAGCAGAAACGTCCATGTCCAGGCAGGTAGGACCTGTGGGGGAAAGGAAATTACAGAACTGCAGGATCCACCAGAGTGGATCTGTCCCCAAAGACACCAAGACTGCAGACAAGAATTCTTACCCACTGTGCTGTAGGTCGCCAGGGGCTGGTGAGGCAGCACCACCTAGGGTGGGGACAAGAAGACCAGAATGGGTGTTTATCTACCTGCTGCAAGCCCTCTACAAGGACTCTCAGGGGTCCAAGGTAGGAGCACCATGGGGGAAAATCTCCCACCCCACACCCCAACTATCACCACCTGAGTATTTGAGGGATTTGTGTTTTGGTTTAGCATGAAGGCTGTGCAACTAGAGAAACTTTCTGAATCCCCAACTCACACTAGGGTATGTACCATCGGCTCCCTGAAGCCTCATCAATATCTTTGGGATAGACAAGATATCAAGAAGCCCCTCTGTTCCCCTTACAACCTGAGGAACCACCAGTTTAGTGTTTCCAGGTCTACCTTCCCTTGTAACCCACTGCCTTTAGGCCCCATGGATGGTGCGTGACTAAGGGAAAGACACTCTCGCCTTATCTCTCTGGCCACTTTGACAAGTCCAACTGAACACACTGTACACACACACACACACACACACACACACACACACACACACACACTGTCTACAGCAGCCCCTCACCGCAGTTGGTGGACCAGCTGCCCCACCGCTGGCATGGCCACGCTTTCTCCTCAGTAGCTCCTTCACTGGCTCCTTGACTCGAACACCCTGGTATGGCCTTGGTGGGGCAGGAGCTTGCTCTGGAGCTGTGGGTGTAAAAAGGAATGTCACTAGAACCCATGACCCTTCTCAGATGCCCCCAACAATGAATCTCCATTTCTCCTAGTGCCCAACTCTTTGACCACAGAGAGTCTCTATGAGGCTTCCTATAGTATTTCTCCCAAGACTCCCCCTGCCCATGACCATTCTGGAGCCTTACTATATTCAAATATTTAGGCCCTGTCCCTTTGTCTAAAAGTGACAGGCTCCCCAATGGGATCAGAACCCCGTTTTTCTGACCCTATATAAGCTGACTCCAGCAAGAAGGCCTGGTATACTCCTCTGGTTATTCACCTCTCTATCTTCATTACTGTTTCTGATCTGGGATCCACTTCTCTGACCTCTGCAGACTGTGGAATTCCACCATCCACCCCTCCAACACATCTAGAGCTGACCGACATTCACATAAGTGGGAGTAAGGAAGGGCAATCAGGTCAAGAACTCTAGAGTCATGTATAACTGGATCCAAGTCCCCTCTCAGTCACACTCTAGCTACGGCATCCTATGAAGTAATTAAATTTCCCTGAGCCTCATAATCTGTAGTTTATCAGATGGATGCTGGGCAGAGTAACCTGTAATTTACGTGCATAAAAAACAAGGTATATGTATATAAGATTGGGTACAGAACAAGCATTTAGCAAGCTTAGCGTTTCCTTTGCTTTCTTGTCTCCAGTTTTGTTGGTACTATGGAAATAACCCAGAGCCTTAGATATACCACCCAAGTGTTATACCCTTGAGCTATATCCTCTACCTCCCAAATCAATACATTTATAGCTTGCTAGATAATGATGAGTTATCCTTGTTGGCATGAATTTAACATACTTCCAACTAGATTATAAACCTCTCAAGACAGTGTGCTGTTTCTGTCCCCTGGAGTGTCAGAAATGTCCAGTCTCCCTATAATCCTAGTCATGACTGTTCATTAAGCAAGCATGTGGTGCTTTAAAATCTCTTTCCATTCATCTTCCTCTCACTTCTCCTGAGACTTTAGGGTTAATGGACCAAGAAATAAAAGTGGCTGCCGGGCCTTTAAATACACCCAACGGTGACTCCTGTGTCCTAAAGCTGGGTATCCACCTTGATGTTGCAGGGAGAATGTTTTCTTTCCTTTTTGTCAAGAAATCTAAGAAAGCACTGACTAAAACCCAAGCCAGGGCAAAGGGCTTTCCCTTGCCTGGGAGATCAGAGACAACCTATCCACACAGATGAAAAGGTCCATGGATGGCAGGCCAAGATCTAGGTCATCCAAGATCAAGAAGCAGTGGTCTCTGGGACTCACACAAGGAGCCCATTATCCTCCACTGATAAGGGCCCGTGGACCTAGGCTTTGTATCAAAGGCCCGGAACCCTGGGAATCTGTTCAACCCGGATCCACAGGGCTGCCTTGACTGAACTTTGTTCAGTAAACACCTTCCTGATATTGATAACAACTTGTGCCTCACTCTGCACAAGACCTCCCACCGGGCTCCTGGGCTCACAGCACCAGCGCAGTCCAGTACTGAAGGCCAGTAGGCAAAGAAACCATGCACAACCAGCAAACGGAGGAGGAATGAGCCCCAGAGGCAGATAGTAAGAGTCAAGACCCAGCTCCTCAGACGAGGCTTCTATCTATGCTACGGTTTCCTACCTGACTGTGAGGCAGAGCCAGCTAGAAACCGATGTAAAATAAAGATACCCGGTGTCTTGTTCCCATGGACTCTGACATGGGGGAATCCACTTAAGCTGGGGAGTCTGTCTTTATAAAAGTACTTGCAGTGTTTCTGAAGGTGACTGGGGCTACAGCTTTGACACATCCTCCCTAAATTAACACGAGAGCCACTCTATAGCCTCCCATGATCTTCTTGTCAGTGTCCTCTGTCATAAAAGGGAATCTTTTATGACACTCATTCTTCCAAAATGTTTCAGGACACATGTGGATGTGGCCCCTACTCACACTGATTGTAAAGTAGAGCAGGAAAGATAAGCGATGGAGTACCTACCAATGAGAATGTTACAAATGAGAGGTTTGGACTGACGTGAGAGTGCCTATCAGGAAGAGCTAGCATAGTGCCCTGAGACCACCTTCATCTTTGTTCAAACCAGCAATGACAACAAACTTAAGAGCCAAAAACACCTGCACTCAAATATGGGCTGTCAATTACTAGTAGAAAAATTCCGAGACTTGTGTAATGACTCTAGACCTCAAGTTCCTTATCGGCAAAATAGGGGCACATTTTAAATTTTTCGGTGACATGTTTTAGCCCCCTAATCTTCCTTCTGAGTGCGTCTGTCCTGCACAAGTGCTGCTTGCACACTTTTCCTATGTGTGCAAGAATAATGTCCAGTGCTGCCCACAGACCAGTGTGTATAGACTGACGTGAGAGAGAAGCAGAGCCACTCTGGCTCCGCTTCATTCTACGCCCCTTTCTCAGGAGCGTGGTGACCATGTCAGCTTTCACAGACATTTCCTCTGCTGACCTCTCCGGCTTCCTGCCATCCCTTTACTCTCAGAAAAATAGTGAGGCCTGAGTCAAAGGAGGGTGAAGGGTCCAAATACTATGGTCAACCTCTGAACTCAGTCGGAGGACAATACACATGTATCTCAGCCCAGATGGGAGTCAGGATCGTGGCTTGTGTACTTCTGATTTGCATGAACAATTCTGGGAAAGGGCCTGGAAGCCTACAGGGCCCACCCCTCTGTGGAACTGGACATGCCATGCACTTGGCTATAAAGAGACTACCTGGGCCCCTCCAGATGGAAAGTAAGAGTTTCATGTCCCCGGCTGTTTTAAAATCTATGAACCAAGAAGGCTTTGGGGAGATGCTGTAAACACAGGGTACCACCCTTTAATGTCTGCAACCCAGAGAATCAATGGATGGGCCCTGGCATAACAGAGCATGTGCAGAAAAGTCCTGATCTAGTACAGCTGTGAAACTCTCACAGCTTTGTACCCATAAACAGCTGAAAAGGACTCCTGTAGGTGAATCTGCCTGAGCAGGCAAAAGTGCGGTGCTTTGGACCATGCCTCGGCAAAGTGCTGGTGAAATCTCAGAATCCAAGCACCAAGACATCTCCCTAGGAAGCTCACCAGACAAGAGTATTTACAACTTGACAACTTGCAGTTGGGGCCTTTCACACTAATGTATGGAAAGCAAAAATCAGCTTAATTCCACAATAAACACTGCCACCAGCGCCAGAAGTGAACCCACTATGGAAATTCAGAAGAAAGGAAAATTTGTCCAAAGTCACAAACAGAAACTTGAAATAACACTGTACTGGCAGAGAAGAGAGTTTGGAGTAGCGGTAACTGGAGAGTTTAATAATTCCCCAGTCAGACTGCAGCTCTGGACAGTACACCGAAACTTTCTCACCACTCCTCTTGTGGCCTGAGGACCCTTGAAGCCTCTGTGGGCTGAAAGAATCCAGCACCACAATGGAAAATCAGCCTACCTGACCACAAACCTCTGGGAACTTCTTTGGACAGGAGTTCTCCACACTGCTTTTCTTTACTATTGAACAACAGTTGCCAATGGTAGTCAAGGAAGAAAAAAAAAAAATACTTTTGAAAAGCGTAGTTGATAACAACACCCATAAATCTGGTCACAGGGGGAGCTTCCTTTTCCAAAACAATCAGTGAAGGGTCTGGCGGTAAAAACAGTCAGCAGAGGGCGTTTCATTCCCCCTCCCCCCCACATACCCAGAAGTGCTGCACAGAACAAAGAGAAGGGCCTGCAGCTACCATTCCACCTGAAGGCTCACAGCATGACAGGTTGAACCCAACAGGTCACACAGCCCATGGCCCCAGCATGTACACTGGCATCTATGCTCACCTCCACCAAGCTGAGAGAGCACGGGCTTCTACAAGTTAAATAAGCATGCCACTCTGGTTTCCTCCATGAAATAAAATTTGACTAAGGAAATACGCAAAATCACAGCATATTTAATAACCCCACGCAAGCCACAGCACATGCATACTCAACTATGGAGCCAGGAGAGGGACCCTAGTTATCTGTAGCTTGTCTTTCAGTACAGCTTTTAAAGAGCCCATGTCCAGTAGGTGTTTTCTTTTCTTTTTTTTTTTTTCTTTTAATTATTGCTATTTTTTACAATTCATTCACTTTACTTTGTATCCCGGTTGTAGTCTCCTCCCTCATCTCCTCCTAGTCCCACTCTGCCTTCCTCCTTCTCCCCTATCCGTTCCCCCTAGTTCACTGATAGGGGAAGCCCTCCTTCCCTACTGTCTAACCCTAGTCTATAAGGTCCCATCAGGACTGCCTGTACCCTCTTGTTCTGGGGGCTGGCTAGGTTGTCATTACGGAAATGTGATCAAGGCGCAGGCAACTGAGTTCATGTCAGAGTCTCTTTTCCCCTTACTAAGGAACCCACACAGAGACTGAGCTGGCTATCGGCTACATCTGAGCAGGGGGTCTAGGTTCTCTCTATGCATGGTCGTTGGTTGATGCATCAGTCTCTGCAGTCCCTCCTGGGCCCAGCTCTTTTCTCTTTATTTTAATTATTTTTATTTTTGGCTTTGATGGTTTTCTTGTGCAATAGGTGTTTTCTGAGAGAAGACCATTGCCTCAGCCATTGTTCTCTTGAGATTTCCCATGGGTCACAACACCAAGGAGCAGACTGGACAACAATTGAGAACTCTTCCCCTAAAAGCTATGTAATATATAGGTTAAGCATGAGTTTGCATCACCAGGGAACCAGAGAATAGGAATAATCACAACTATGTGAGCTCTTCCACCCAAACTTGGCAGACTGCTCAAACTTCAATTCACAACTGGTTGAGCCTCAAGGCTTCAGCCACAAGGGCTACTTTGAAAGCTAAAAACACCCAGAGGAGGTCACTGACATACTACCATTTAAAACACTCTCTGAATCACCCCAGATTACCACGAAAGTATTCTCTTTCACTGCTGGTGTTCAATATTATCAAAAAGAAAACAGAACTCCTTAAGGAGAAAGACAACTAATATTCTCTTTACTTGTAGCAAAACCAAA